CCAGCCCAGGGAGGCTTTTCTTATGCACAGCACTTGTAATATGATTGGCCGATAGCTAAAGAACAATAGCTGTATTTTTGTTTAGCTCATATTCGCCCCTTATGGAGGGGAGGGAAGTCTCAAACAAAGGCATTTTGAACCGCCGATTTTGGCCGGTTCAGGAATGGTGACATTGGCCGGTGACAGGAGTGAAAGGGTTAATTACTTTACATAATCATATTAATTTCAGTACTCTGGCCTCACACAGAGCCAAAATAAGGTAATTTCCTGTTTGTTGCTGCAGGCAATGAGAGAACCAGAGAATGTTGAAAGGGCATAAAATGTCTTATAACTCTTACCCGGTCCAGTATGCTTCAGTTGGAAGTTTTCATCAGCAAATTTTTCTCCGTAGATGGACTTGCCACCAGTCCCATTTCCTCTCGTAAAATCACCGCCCTGTTTGGAATAATCAAAAGTCCCAGTGTTTTGATTATATCGCTAAAACTACCAGTGTAAAATTATGGGATTCGTTGGGATATTGAGAAAAAAATAGGATGAACAATCAGCACTAAAAGGCCAATGAGTATGAAAAACTCCTTTCTTGTATTTTCAAGTTTTTATATTACTGTTTTGTATCAAATTATTAGGCATTAAAATGCTGACATTGCCTGGCCCTAGGATCATTCCCTCTCTTAAAGTATTTCTATAGGTGAGGTTACACAGGACACTTTCACCGTGGGAAATGCCTTTTAACCATGGTGTGTATAACCACAACTTGTGTCTTTTGAGAAGAGAGCATGATACAGGAATAATGCTATCCTGCCATCTTGGGCATTAATACTACCAGAGAGTTGGGGCAAGTGGTCTTTTTCTTGGCTTTTCAAGATGATGCCCATGATCAATGTACTTCTGAGGTTTGAAGGCTAACTTATTGGTCAGATGTTAAGTAAAAATACCAGAATCTGTTTTTTTTTCTTACTGGCCCACAAACAATTGTCAGAAACAGTTCTGCTCTGATTGGCTAAGATTAGGGTTTGATGTACTTCCCACTGCATTCAGATTCATGCAATGGTGTTTTAATATTATTATTACTGTTCAAGTTACTACCTGGCACATAAAACCTGGGATCACTCGATGGAACTTGCTTCCCTTATAACCAAATCCCTTTTCACCGGTGCACAATGCACGGAAATTCTCTGCAAATTGAATTCATAGAATTATTTAACTAGAAGTTTCCACTGGAAAGTGATGTACTGTAGGTAAGGCAAATACAGAAGAAAAGAATTATTAAGATCAGAGAGATGTGTTTGCAACCTAGCTGATTGTGAGCACGTTTCAAACTTAACTCTTGGCACATGTCACAATAGGCCATTTGCACGATGGTGTCATTTTACTACTACGACCAGTCCCACAGGGCTCTGTTTTAGGTCCCATTTTATTCTTGGCTTATATAAACGACCTCCCCCAGTATGTTAAAACTAAAGTTTGTCTTTTCGCAGATGACACCATGATCTATTTAGCCATCGAGTCCAAGAATGATTGCATCCAGTTACAACAAGGATCTCCTTAATCTGGAAAAGTGGAAATCAGATTGAAAGACGGAGTTCCATACTTCAAAAAGTAAAGTTTTACACATCACAAGAAAGTGTCATCCATATGTTCATGTCTATATGCTTAAAGGACAAGTCTTGGACCCTCTGCATTCAGTCAAATACCTTCAGTGTGTCTACCTATCTGACGACCTCCACTGGAACGAACATATTAAAACCATCTCAAACAAAGCTAACAAAACTCTTGGCTTTCTAAAGCGCAACTCAATACATTGCCCACCCAGGACTAAGGAAACAGCATACAAGGCCCTAGTGCACCCAACTCTGGAATACTGTTCATCTGCATGGGATCCACATACAGATAAAAACACAAACACCGTTGAGATAGAGCTGCACACTGGGTTTTAAATCACTTCGACCGCAAAGACAATGTAACTGAAATGCTTTCAACCCTGAAATGGAAGACACTAGAAAGTAGGCGAACCATAGCATGCCTATCTATACTGTATAAAATGCGACACAGACTAGTCTCTCACAAAGATACCAGTCTACATTTAGCTGGCCATTCTTACTCAACTTGTTCCATAGAGTACTCTTACACACAGCCAACAGCCATTAGGGATTACTACAAAATATTCCTTCTACCCAAGGACAATTACAGAATGGAACAAACTCCCAAGGGATATAGCATTGTCTAATTCGCTGGCTGCTTTTAAAAATGCAATTTCAAACATTTATTGACACTTTTATTACTTTGCGCTCATAAGCATCATTTCTATCTGTCACTTATGTTTTCCTTTCTTTTTTTTTGTCATTTTTTTTCTAGAGCGGTCTAAAATGCTCAATATTGAGTGAAAGACCTAAATGGTAAATAACCAAATAAATGCTCTTTTTCCCCCAAAGCCCTCAGTAAAGTTCACTGATGAACATACATTCACTCAGAAAATTTGCCCTAGGAATATAGCAGCTTTAAGAAAATTTTTCTTTTCTGCTTCTTTATACCCTAAAAAAATCTGCTCCCTCATAAATTTTTGCTTTTCTGCTAATTCCCCATTGCCTGCGTGCAGACGTCTCCTATTTCCTTTGTTGCACGCGGAAAAGGGACGTCTGCGTAACGCCGTCGCTAATCGTGTTCCAGCATCCCGCTGGCAGGGTATTCTATTTCGCATAAATTGTGAAATAATATCCGGCTAGAAATAAGAGTTGACAGGCCAAACAAAACATCATAAGCTCGTGATACGGGCGAAACGTGACCTTGAGAGTCTGCTTGCACAGAGGTTTTTCTTCTTTTCTCTCTCGCGCGAAGATTACTAGCATTACACAGTGCATGTAGCATTCTAACCTTTGACTGAGTAAATCTCATTTTTGCCGCGCTAAGTCTTCCATTTAGAGGTCATGAAGCAGGTTTGTTACATGCATACTGAGTAATCATTTCCTGTGGTTTATGCTTCTGTGGGTGTTCCCGATAGGATTTGATTTCAGATGCAGTTGTAAAGTGGTTAAATTTTCTTGACCTGTGTTTGTTACGGCTAAATAAAGATTTTAGTTTCTTTGGCTGGCTTTCTCCGAAATGCCTGCCTGATGCGAAGTCCACGCCGCTTTTGTAGTTTTCTCAGCCACTGTTTACAAATATGATGTGATGTGTCATGCACAGTAAATTGTAAAGAAATAATTTCCTCGTACACGTTAAATTTTCCGCGTCCCCGCACAAGATTTCGATCGCTCTGCTTTTTGATCGACGAAAAACACTGCACACAATCGCACATGTTTTGATTCGTTTTGGTTAGAAAACCCCCCTTACATAAATCATTTAAATCACCGCATACATTATCAGACCACATTCGATAACAACCAATCCGCGTTAAGTCAAACAATGCGTACTGTGTGTCAGCCTATCACAGCGTGTTCCCAAGATCTTGGGAACCCAGCAGGACGCTGGAACACGATTAGCGACGGCGTTACGCAGACGTCCCTTTTCCGCGTGCAACAAAGGAAATAGGAGACGTCTGCACGCAGGCAAATTCCCCACAGAAAAATACGGTCTTCAGTCTCATCAATCTCCAGTAATTCTTTTTTTTGTATACTTCTTCACAAAATTTCGTAAGCGAGGGGTTATATTAAATAGAATGTCTCTTAGGGGAGAAAACAGGCAGATAGAAAAGCGCCACCGACCAAACGATATAGCTAAATCACATTCCTGTCAGAAAATCCACGCCGGATTTGTCATAATCTATTCTTACTTAATTGTCCGAAAATATAAGCCAAGTCCTTGTGTAGCTCAAGTTAACTTACATTTCACTGTATCAGACAGTAAAACCGTATGGGATTACGTCCCTTCTGTGAAAAACACATATACGACTTGAAGATGTATTAAAGTAAAATCATTTACTCAAAAACATTTCATTTCCCTAAGACATGAATTTGAAATTTGACATCCTTCATGATCAACTTACGTGCGCAACTGAATGACAATGCTTATGTACAAAAAATTAAAATTAAAATCTGTACTCGCAACGCCTTGTTACCACAGATGAAACTAAAACACTAAAAGCTGCACAAACCTGCGGTCTTTGGAACCACATCTGCCCTGAGCTGCGAATAATGACAAGAAGAAAGTAAACTTAAAAAATTATGCATAGCAAAGCAGCTGAAGCAGCAGATCACGTTTGCGGTGACAAGTATGCCGAACTGTACTATAAACACTATTTCATGTACTTACTTCCATTACAATGCGTCCTGCCTCCTTGCCACCGATGGTTACATCGAAAAATACCTTTGGTCTTGCCATAGCTGTGATGAAAAACCGATGAAACGTTCGCAACGCCAGTGCTTCTTCTTCGAAAGGAGGGTGGCACGTGTGTAACGAGAGCCCTTGAATTTCCTGGTGATCCACCCCGAAACGCATTCAGAAGTAGGGCGGTGGTCGTCCAAATATGGCCTGACAGATTCCCATGGGGAGGAGAGGGTATCACTAGTTGTGGGCGTAAATATGGGAGGGAAGCGGTAGGGGCGAAAATGTTTTTCAGAAAGTCATTCGAAATCTGAGGAAAAACGGACGACTTCTCGCCAACCTCGTCCCCAGGGCTTTTCCCTTAAAAAAATGGGTAGGGCGGGAAAAGGCCCTGGCATCGGCTGGTCACGTGTACAGCCTAAATATTCCTGAGAAGCTAATTTATATGCAACCCGCTGGCTTTGCGCTGACAGAAGTCGAACGGAGCAACAATGGAAAATAATAACATCGCGAACCATGTTAATATTTTCGCGTGTGTGCGCAGTTCAAAAGCTTAAGATCCATTTATTTGCTTATTATTCAAATGTTACAAAGCTCTACGTTATCAGGTACAAAATATGTCAAATACTTCAGAGTTGAGACAAGCTGTTATCGCGAGTGGTACTTCAGAAATTCATCGTGACTGTGGAATTAATGTACAATCAAGCGGAAAGTGATTTTGTCCATGTCAAACAAAAATG